AACAACTGGAAATTTATAGGTCTACAATTTTTTTCAAATTTCAGCCCAATTAATAAAAGTATATCATCCTTCCTGTGTACACGTATACACTTATAAATAAAAAATCATTTTGTCCATGTCATGCTATTCCTTCAATAAATAACCACCAGCTGTGTATAGATCAATCCATTTGATAACACCTGGAAACATTAAAAGTCATTTCGCTGGTGTTTAAGTTANCCAACTTACGCAAATTCAACTTATGCCTTTACCGCTCGGTCCCACCTATCGTGTAAGTTCGGGGTATTACTGTAGTTCATCCAGGTTGGAGTTAAGACTATGTACTGTGGCTAAAAAACTAAGAAAATTACTTTGTGCGCAATTTTTTGGTGCTGATTATGAATACTCAAAGTCATTTTTGGCACATTTATGCCATTTTTGCAGATATTGTGCCACAAAGTTGCACTTTTCCAATACAAAACTCCATAAATGGTGGTGATTCAAATCAGGGCACCAGTTAGCACCCTGGCACTTTTTAATTTATGACTTCACTTCTGATGAGATCCTTTAAAAAGTTACCATAAATATATATTTTCTAACACAGATAAATAATTTTATTTTACAAAATATAAAATAAAATATTAATGAGTGATTATTTATTGTGAGATCATCACAATGCCAAGCTGAAATTTTAAATTATATTTTAAAAATTTATTTCATTTAAAATATACGCTCTTCTCCTCAAATTAGAAGTATCTTGTTCCTGTACATCATACTTTTCTTTTAACAATAGAGTCATACCTGTCATCTATTAACTGTTTTCAGGGGAAAACTTGAATTGAAATAACACGACTTCCAATACAAACAGGAAATTCATATATAGTCAATCAGGGCCTCCTGCACCCGAGATTTCCATATCTGGTCTTGGATTTCATGTATCTAATTCCATTCTCCAGATTAAGGAGAGACAGACGGACAGATAAACAACTGGAAATTTATAGGTCTACAATTTTTTTCAAATTTCAGCCCAATTAATAAAAGTATATCATCCTTCCTGTGTACACGTATACACTTATAAATAAAAAATCATTTTGTCCATGTCATGCTATTCCTTCAATAAATAACCACCAGCTGTGTATAGATCAATCCATTTGATAACACCTGGAAACATTAAAAGTCATTTCGCTGGTGTTTAAGTTATAGTTCAATTTGTATACCAAATAATATTTATAAATGAAAATATATTAATTTGATACTTTAAAATATAATTTAAGTTTCACTTTTAAAATCTGAACTAATTTTTAGATAAGTTTATATCTTTTCCTTAAAAATAAATATTTGTATAGATAATGATTTTATTATTAATTCTTATTAATGTTTCATGCATGATTTAAAGAGAGGAAAGGATAAGATTGGGTCAAAGTTCAATAATAATACAAAATTATAGATTATTTTTTAAAGAGAAAAATTTAACAATGTGCAAGTAATAACTATCAAATTTGAGACAAAATTAAAATTGACTTTAAACTAAATTTAGAAAACAACTCAGCTTATTTTAAGAAACAAAAATTGATTTTATTTTTAAATTTAACAACAAAATTCAATTAGTACTCATTCAATTAATTCTCTTAAGTGTTTTTTAATATAAAAATTAGCTTTATTATAAAGAAAAAATGAAATATACTCATTCATTAATTAGAATATTAATTAAGAAGTTCATATTCTAAAAAATAAAATGAAAACAGGGATGATGGAAGAAGAGAATGAAAAGAGAAAATGAGAAGAATGGCTCAGGGATGTTACAAGCATGTCTTTGAAGTGTGATGAAAGGCATTCTCTCAATCATATCAATATTTAAAGGCTAAAAATGTACTTACGGGATCTAACTTCAAAATTCAAATCTGATCCTCAGAAATTTTTATAGTTTGTTCTTTTCATAATGTGCCCTCCTCTATGATGAATAGTTAAAAAAAGAAAAATTATATATTTTTGAAATATAAAGGAGAACCAAAGTCAGTTAACTTGGATAATTTTAAGATTGGTTAAAATTAATTTGGAACAACTATATGATTTGGCTGCTTCAATAAAAGTATATGAATTATACCGGTACATACTTTTGAGTACAATTTATAATAAAAATAAACATATATCCTGGAATTAAATACAACTTTATGAAAAATAATATCCTGTTTACAAAACACTGTAAGTGAAGTGGAACAAATTCTTCCATTATATTTAATATATATATATATATATATCAAAATAATATTAAAATTATTGTCCTAATTTTTTTAAAATATTTTGAATAAGTACAGAAATAACAAAAAGATTTTAAATCTTCATAAAAAAAATGACAATAAGAAACCAAAATATTTGTATTTTTTGTATTAAAGCTTTGTGCTATCTTCCTGAATCTAAGTATGAATTATAAGTAGATTAATCATAATCAGGGTAAAATTTTAGAAATACTTATAAAATAGAAAATAAAAATGTGTATAAAATAAAATTTGGTGTTTTAAAAGCATTTTTTGCTTCTTTACTTGCAACATGATAAATATAAATGAATGTTAGCATCCTTTACATAAACTAATACAAAAATTGTAGCAACTTATTGCATTTACAACTATATTATGTAGACATAAACATTGTTTAAATTGAATTTTATCTAATTCAGTGGTTCCCAATTAGTGGTATGCATACCCATGGGAGTACGCGAAATTGCGTGAAGGGGTACGCACGGCAATCTAAAATCGGTCGATTTAAAATTTAAATGCATGAGTTGAAGCAATCAAAAAAATAACGGGGGGGACCATCAAAAATTCGGCAATTTACAACATGATGTCGAATGCACAAATTCATTTATTTATAACTAAAAATATTCTCGAAATTTCGTTAAAAAATGCATTTGCGACAATACCTAAATGAAATTCTTACGCAAGAAACAAAAAGTGTACAATTAACACAATTTGTGTTAATTGTACACTTCTTGTTAATTGTACAATTAACAAAAAGTTATTGCTGCTTTAAAAAGTTATTAACAAAAAGTTATTGCTGCTTCACTGACACTATCATCGTGTCAGCGAAGCAGCAATAAAATATTTACTACCATTTTGCACAACATACCTCTGCGAGAGCGGATTTTCGGCCGTGACAAACACGATAACTAAACATTGTCACCGACTTCAACTCGAAGATGACTCAAGACTGAAGCTGACCAAAAAGCAACCAGATTTTACAAAGTTGTGCAAAGAAAATCGTGCACATTTGTTGCATTAAAATTAAATAACCTTATGTTATTTTCATTATTATTAGAATTGTATTTTAAAGGTAATAAATGTAAAAAAAAAAAACTTATTCTATCACTAGCTGTCTACCCACAGCTTTGCTTGCATTATATCGAATTTTCTCGTGGGAGTAAGATATTTTCTCGCAGTAAAATGTAGCCTATGTCCATCTCCAACATGTAAGCTATCTCTGTGCCAAATTTTATTAAAACCTGTTCAGCGGTTTAGACATGAAAAGGTGACAGACAGACAGCATTATCTTCGAATTTATAATATTAGTATGGATTAATATGAATTTTTGGTATAAGGGGTACGCGAGTTTGACTAATTGGGAACCACTGATCTAATTTAAATGATTCTTAGTCATAGAATAGATATTCTTTGTGAAATGCATTGTTATAATCTCTTTATATTCAAAACTATTATTCTTATGGCAATTAAATTGTGTATACAAGTATCCATCAGTCAATTAGTATATCATACATTTGGTAAAATTACTGCTTGACCATCACCTAAGAACATACAATACTAATATCCAGTTTATTTAGCATGCTATTTTATAATATATGAACACACCTGAATTCTACTTGCTGAGTTTTTTCTCTTTATTCAAACGTTTTCAGCCTATTTTGATAGGCTATCCTCAGGTTTTCCTTTATCGTTCCAAAATGGAATCATTCGGAAATGGAATCCAAATAAAGAATAAAGAGAAAAAACTCGGCAAGTAGAATTCAGGTGTGTTCATATATTATAATTAATATTGCTGAGAAGGAGAGAGATAGTGCTATTTTATTTGAAATTACAATTGAAAATTCTAAATTTATTAAAAAAAAAATGTGAAAATTACATCAATATGTAAACCAAATTGCATCCTTTACACAACAATGCTATTTTTTTCATTTGTAATTATTATTTATACTTTTTCTTTACAAGCACTAAGAGAACTTTTTTTCACATCCACCAAGATTCAATCACTTGAACAGACCCCCCATGGTGGGCTTGGCCGGTGTCAATCTACCCATAAAATTTCAAATAATAGTAAGACTCAAATTGGTATTGCCACTTGGCAGGAAATTTCTCCGATTGCAAGGAATTTGATTCCCACAGGAAAACTGCAGGCGTTGAGGAATCGGTGAGTACTCGCAAATATTTTACGAAATAACAGAAAAACTCAATTTTTTGAAAATAAAATCAGAAAACTCCATCCAAAATTTTAAAAATTAATTTAATTAGGGACACAACGGAATAATCTGAGTTTCGGGACTTATGTGGACAATGGCCAAGACAGCCGATTCCCAAACAGTTCTGGAAAGAAAAAGCCACAGATTCCACGTCTCTGGCTCCCGACCACATCGAAACGCCATGGCCCACTCTCCGGTTAAGCAGATGGGGAAAAACGGATCTTGGCTGAGAAGTCCAAGAATTAAAAATTTTCAGAAATTCTGGAAGCATCCGTGAGAGTCTGCAACCATAATTCCCGCAGATCTCTCCAGAGGCAGAGAGTGGCAGAAACTGACCGATTGCCAACCCGGCGTTTCGGAGAAGGCCTGGTGGCGGCACCAATCCAAAGTCGGTCTCTGTGGGCCAACGTTTCCACCGTCCCGACCGTTTGATCGTCCACGCAACAAAACTAGATAAAATCAATCGCAGCCTTCGATAAACAAAGGAAGATAAAGACAAACGATAAAGTGTAGGTAAGTGTAGGTAAGACAAAAATAATATATAAATCTCACTTACGGCATCGTTTTTAAGAGTTTCAATCTGGGAATTTGCTCTATTAATTGCTTCTTCTTTTTGTCTCAACTGATTAGAAAGTTGATTGACTTCCTCTTCTTTCTTAGATAATGTATTTTTATTTTGTTGTATGAGATCGAGATTCATTTGAAGTTTACTGTTAAGTCCTTCGTTTTGTTTAATTAATAGATCAGTTTTACTAGAGCTGCTTCGTAAGTTCTCTTCCACGTTTAATAAATTCTTCTGAAGGATATTAAAACGAAACGACAGATTCCAATAACAGTAACTGACGATAATCAATGCGATAAACAAACCACAGATGATAAAAGGTGGGCTTCTACCACTGAAATGTGGCCGTAATTGTCCTCTGGTTATACCGTTTGTGGACGATCCCATCATTTGTCGTTCGTAGCAACCAGTTTCCGCTAGAAATTAACGAGTTAAACTGACATCGCCACTACCTCCCATCTATTTTTGTAAACAAAGTTTTTACGGACGTTGCCAGCTAATGATGTCGCAATTTTATCCTATACACTATTTTTTTAAAATCGTGCATTTAATTTTAAAATAATTTTATTTATATATACATTATCAAATTAATTAAAATATTACTTTATATTTTTAAAAATGAAGGTCAATTTTATATTATTATTTTTTGAACTCAACCTTAGAATTATGAATTACATCTTTGTAACTGCTCCGTCACGGATTTTACGACCCGACTGGTTCGATTCCGAATCTCCCGGAGCGATATGTTGCCATCATTTTATTACCGCTCGGATATCCGACCGTCCTCGGATCCGAATTAGGATCGACTCCAGGACGGTAAGCCGATTTCTTTATCACTTCGACTAACCGGACGGTCGAATGGCCGAGACGGTTAAGAATCAGCCTACCGCTCTGAAGGATCCGAGAACCAATCCGGACGAGCTAACCCGGAAATTTTCGTAGTCGGTAAGTCCCATACACGTCGGAGCCCGTTCTTTACCATCCGGTCGTTTCCGTTGCTTGCCAATCGATCTCACGATAGAAAAGTAGGATTTAAAACACAAGGGACACCTCGACCGATCTGTTATATAATTCATATTATTATTTAGTGACATTTATATTGCTACTAGTAGCCCGGGACGCCCCCTAGTGGGCGTTGTTTACAAATTTCCATGAAGCACGGTTCCTTTGACTTTTTTGTTCCTATCAATATGCTCTNGTATGAGATCGAGATTCATTTGAAGTTTACTGTTAAGTCCTTCGTTTTGTTTAATTAATAGATCAGTTTTACTAGAGCTGCTTCGTAAGTTCTCTTCCACGTTTAATAAATTCTTCTGAAGGATATTAAAACGAAACGACAGATTCCAATAACAGTAACTGACGATAATCAATGCGATAAACAAACCACAGATGATAAAAGGTGGGCTTCTACCACTGAAATGTGGCCGTAATTGTCCTCTGGTTATACCGTTTGTGGACGATCCCATCATTTGTCGTTCGTAGCAACCAGTTTCCGCTAGAAATTAACGAGTTAAACTGACATCGCCACTACCTCCCATCTATTTTTGTAAACAAAGTTTTTACGGACGTTGCCAGCTAATGATGTCGCAATTTTATCCTATACACTATTTTTTTAAAATCGTGCATTTAATTTTAAAATAATTTTATTTATATATACATTATCAAATTAATTAAAATATTACTTTATATTTTTAAAAATGAAGGTCAATTTTATATTATTATTTTTTGAACTCAACCTTAGAATTATGAATTACGTCTTTGTAACTGCCCGTCACGGATTTTACGACCCGACTGGTTCGATTCCGGATCTCCCAGAGCGATATGTTGCCGTCATTTTATTACCGTTCGAATATCCGACCGTCCTCGGATCCGAATTAGGATCGACTCCAGGACGGTAAGCCGATTTCTTTATCACTTCGACTAATCGGACGGTCGAATGGTCGAGACGGTTAAGAATCAGCCTACCGCTCTGAAGGACCCGAGAACCAATCTGGACGAGCTAACCCGGAATTTTTCGTAGTCGGTAAGTCCCGTACGTGTCGGAGCCCGTTCTTTACCATCCGGTCGTTTCCGTTGCTTGCTAATCGATCCCACGATAGAAAAGTAGGATTTAAAACACAAGGGACACCTCGGAGACAGAAAAGACATCTCGACCGATCTGTTATATAATTCATATTATTATTTAGACACATTTATATTGCTATGTAGGCCTACTTAATACAATCGCACTTAATTTAAACGATCTTTGTATCGTGGAAAACACCATGGATGGAAGAGAATGACTGGTCTGCATCTTCCCAGACATTAATCCTTGAAGATTTCTTTTCACGGAGCTATGTCGAGGAGTGTTTCGTATTAACCCATAGACTTTGGAGATGATCGAGACATCTACCAGGTGCAAAATCTTGCTATTCCGAAAAACGTTCTTCAAAGTGTGACATTAAATTTTAGTAACAAATTGAGAAAGATCGAGAATGAAGTCGAGGACAAACATATTAAACAAAGGCTTTAAATCAGGGCTGTGGAGTCGGAGTCGGAGTTGGAGTCCGTAGATTTTTACGCGACTCCACAGCCCTGCTTTAAATACTAATTTGAATGATATGTGACTAAAATTTGTTAGCCTCGACACGGTGGCGTATCCGGGATTTTGAGAATATGCACGTTGCTCCCTATCGTTTTTTGAGACATGTTACTTAATATTTATTTTACAATTAGCTTAGGGTGCGTTTACTTCTGAGCTAGCAGCGCACCGGAAGTGACGTCATTAACACGTGTATTCGTGCTTACTTGTCCAGTTCGAAAGTAAACGCAAATGCTAACAAGAAATATGGCGGTTTCCAGCATTGATAATATTGTCAAAACTGCTATTTTAAATCTTACATTACAATTAGAATTACTTGATTCTGAATCGGACGAGGATAATTTTATTATGGATATAATCATGGAAAAAATGAAAGAAGAAAAAAGAAAAACAAGATCCATAAGAAAGATAGAAACCTTTATTGAAGAGACGGTACCTTTTTATAACCTAACCGATTTTAAACATTTTAGACTTACAGCAGAATGTTTTGAAGGTTTAAAAAAAAAAAAAAAGTCCAATTTTAGACACAAAGGGAATTACTGACCCTGGAAGATGACCTGTGTCTTATCAAAAGCAGCTTTTATGCTGTTTATGGACATTGGCAAATCCAGAATCATTCAGGTTGGTTTATAACATACTAGCTTACCCGTCGCGCATTGCTGCGATCTCAGAAGAAAGGAAATTCAAGCAAACTCGTAATGATAAAATTAAATTTACATTTCATCATTTTTATTGAAACTTATTATTATTATTATTATTATTCATTTTCATCGGGAAAACATTTCAAAGTGTCGTTTCAATTCTATTTATTTATTGGAGTGTTTGTGGATACACGATATTTTTTGTTTTTCCGTCT